ATGAAATTATCTTAAATTGCACAACCGCTAGTTATAAACTAAAAAGATATATGGTCCTCTGCAATGTTAAAATTTATATTAGAAATTTTAATATTCAATGTTTTTCTATTTAGTTCAAGTGAGTCTATTTCCAATATCTTCGACTGCAATAGAACTTTCCTCTGGAGATTTTGTGGAAACGTCAAATCAAACGGCTACACAGCGCCCTGAAGTATCATTAGAGAATACCCCAGTGGAAGTAGTAGAAGAAAAAGAGAAAGATGAAGTTGAAGCCCGAGACGGAAGTGAAGAGGTATTCCACAGTGGCTTATTTTCATGTCCCTCTGAAGGACGAGTCTTTGAATTCCAGAAGTATTCCAATCTCGAATATCATATTCTTTACGGCAAGTGCAGGATAGTAGAAGAGAAAACTACCCTCATAGATAAAGCAAAGATTCTCTATGTGCAAAAGCTGACAGAAGGAACAAGCACACAACCTCAGATGGCCAGCTCCACTGTACTGATGTCAAGCTCGACAAAACTTTCGGAAGGCTGGGCACTGAGCGTCTAAGAAATCAACGCATTTCAACGAAAACCAAAAGAATTACCTCGATGAAAAATTCAAACTTGGCCAGGAGACTGGTTACAAAGAAGATCCATCCCAAGTTGCGAGTGATATGCGTCGTGCTAAAAATGAAAACGGAGAGCGTCGATTTGCTGTTGGCGAGTTTTTATCACAGCAGATAAAGTCGTATTCCTCAAGGTCAGCAGCAAAAATCAAAACAGGGGGGATCTGTAGCAGAGATCGATGTGCCAGCTATTGATGAAGAAATGGCATACTCCTCAGCTCGTGACAAGATAATTCAAGAGTGCCAGCTTAGTCATTCCATTTTGTATGACACATACAACCTTTGTCAACTGTATGCCACGAACAAGCTTACTCGTTTCAGATTTCTTTCCTTCAAGATATATGCTCATATTTCCACTTGGAAATTGATTCCCTTCCTGCTAAACGAAAAGCGCCATACATTGGTTTTATCAATAAACTGATAAAGTCGTGTGCGTGCTTTCCAGCTAGAAGTGACCATATTCTCCGTATTCAGAAAGTAAGGACTCCTGGAATAGAGAGACACCAGCATTATTCCAACTGTCTTGAGAGAAATAAGTGCAATAGGTGCATATGCGTCACACGCGGCTACGATATGTCATTATCCCTTTGTATCTTTATTATAAAAAAATTGGCGGTGAAAACCTCACGTTTACATAAACATGTTTTAGATCGAAAGGATTATATAAAGACCAACTTTGTTCTGTAAAAAAACGTTGGTAATCTTTTGTATCACTCTCACTTAATGGGCTTCCTGTGGGTAACGCAATCACATACCATCGATTGCCGAAGTCGCCAAAGTTGAGCTTTAATTGATGGGTGAAATTTTACCTGAATTAGAAAATTCGTAAAAAAATCGTTTTTTAAGGAATCTTAGAAAAAATGCTTCAGAACCTTTAAAAACATCTCTTGTTTTAGAATTGTTATGTGGTTTCTGAATTGCTGGCGAAACAAATTTTTTTCGGCCGTTATCTTGAGGTGCACTATTTCACCGGGAAAACACGGTTATGAGCCCCCAAAACACAAAATGCCACCGTTCTCCCAAAATAGTTTTTTTTCGGCATTTTTGATATTTTTTCGTAACTGAGACCATACATACCTATGTTCTGGCAAAGTTTGAAAAAATTTCAATTTTTTTATTTTCAACACCTCTGCTCGATTTTTACAGACGACCACTCTTAAAAAGGGGAAAAACTGATATAATTATGTCATACCGTATTGCGTCCTTTAATATTCTTTCCTTTCTTTAGAAAATTGCGAAAGCTGTCAGAAGTAGCTTTCTCCTTCTTCTTCACGGATCCTTGTAAGAGAGTCTTTCCAAACGTCAATCAGCTTCAAATGACAAAACGACTTTACCTTTAGTCTCCTAACAAATTATCAATAATTTGTTGTTAAAATTACTCCCACGTCGGGTTGTGACCCTCACGCGGAAAATTTTTTCCTTTGCTTTTCGCTTCCCGCACATTAAACATCACGCCATAGCCCTTTTGTTATTGGTAATTCTGAGGGATTTTTGCCGAAGAGAGAAAAATATATATTTCTTTATCATTTTATTGGTGTTGAAATTGATAATAAGGCTAAGGTTGTTTTCATACAAAAAATTGAGCTCTTCCTCGTGAATGAAACTATCTTGTAAAATTAATCTGTCAAAGTTTAACAAACTATCAATGAATTCTGCTCAAAACGATTTTGAAAGTTTCGCTGGGCTAGTTAAGCATGATTTAGAATTTTTTGGGTTAAATCGAGCGCGCTACACGTGAAAAATAATGCACGTCTTAGACTGGATTTGGCTTTCTGTGGTATGGGAAATCAATCTTTTGCTTTAGAAAAAAAAAGAAAACTATCAAACAGCACACAAAAAGACAGTTTTAGCATGAACTTCTCGCTTTATTTCAGAAAAAAAGGTTCTTTATGCCATTATCTACTGATTGCGAACTATTTCTTAAATCCTCAATAACTCTTGAAGTCCTTCATTACCTTCGTTACGTGAGTTAGCTTTAAAATCAAGAATTTTACATTGTGTTACTATTTGGTCCATTAAGATGAATTCCATTTGTGTGATGCTCAACAAGCACAAAGTTTGATCGACTATCATGCCAGGTATCCACCAAACCACCATTGTGTGGTGGAAAAATCGCCTGCGTTACAACGGAAGTTGTTATTGATAACTTTGTTGTAACCAAAGTTGTCCTCACTGGGGGAAGCACCAGAGGTGGACACGAACTCACAGCCAGTAAGGCTGCTGTCAGTGTGAAGCATGAAGGTGTTATGAATCTGCCAGAACTTTGTTTGATCTAGTTAATAAAAGTATGTAACAAATTCAGCCACCAATCAGATGGTCACTCACAAACCATTGCAGAGTTTAGCATCAAAGATTTATATTTTCAGCCTAAAAACAAAAGGCCGCTTTGTTTTTCACCCAATTTATCCAAAGTGTATAAACCATCATTTGATATTAGACTTTGACCTTTATTTTGCTCATGCTTACTTGGTGTTTGTTGCTATCACGTTGACCATCTCAGTCTTGCCATACCTATTCCTTTCCAAGGATTGGGTATGGCAGGACCTTACATGCTGTAACAGTAATGGTGATGGGACAACGCTTTGATGGGAGCTTAAATTACTTTTCGGTAGTTACTTTTTTCTCGAGGCAGGCCACTAGAATATTTAGATGGAGTAATTTAATGAATTGTTCTAAACAAACTATTTTATTTACGTTAATCGCTAAGTTTATAGGACTCCCTAGTGGCCTAACGCTAAGTAATCAGTGCATGGCTCAAAAACAAAACAAAAAAAGAGGTAGCATACCGCAGTAACATTTATTGTTGTATGAGAAGGCAGGTCATTTAAAAATGCCTAAACTCTTGTCTTTTCAAACTTAAACGTGTGATAAGATATAAGCGCGTGCTTCAGTTTTTGACTGAACTGATTAAAAATTTTTGTCTACCCCTTAGATTGTTTCTAAGCCCAGTCCTCTTCCATTGTTAATTGAGAGTCCCTAAATGATGGACTCAAATAGTCTAAACTTAAAGAAATTGTCACAGAGATATAACCATCCATGAATGAAAACCAAAGCACGATGGGAAAAACATCCAAAATTACTCCAATAAAGGCAATTGAAAGAACTGAACAGGTAACCACGATAACTGAGCTGAATGCGGAAAGCTATCAAATGTTAAAGGAGTGGCTTCATAACACCTTCATGCTTCACACTGACAGCAGCCTTACTGGCTGTGAGTTCGTGTCCAGGAGTGAGGACAACTTTGGTTACAACAAAGTTATCAATAACAACTTCCGTTGTAACGCAGGCGATTTTTCCACCATACAATGGTGGCCAAGCTGAGGTGAGCTGATCCCACTAAGGAAACGCCCATAACGTTTAAGTCCTAATTTGACATAAATAGTAAGATAAATTGCCATGGTGTTCCTACTTATTTATCAACCAAATTATAACACTCAACTATGGCTGTTTTGAACATTTCTCCTCAGTATTGCGGTTCGTACCATGAGAAACATTCTAGAACTGAAAATTAAAATCTCTAACATCAACAACTTACAAAACTACTTTTATTCAACTGTGTGTAAATATAGTTGATGCCAGACGTAAAAAAACACTATTTACAAAATAAATGTAACGTTTCACTGTGCGTATCAAATTTAGCTGCAAGATGACATTTTCGCCATATAATTTTGTACGGTCTATCCAATTACAGTAACCAAGTCTTTTGAAAGTTTTACTCTATCTATTTCATGGTGGGCCAATTAAGGACCAGGTGGACTTATGAAAAATATTGCTTCAATGTTCGAAATATGTCTCACCTCGCTACCACGCGTCACTTCTTTGAAGCTTGCAATGTTTACATTTGCTTAACAAGCAATCTCTGTAATTTTTCTTTAAAATTTGTTTAAAGAGCCGGTCTACAGTTTTATCATCTTCGTCCTTCCACGGTCAACACCGTACATACTCTGTGTAAATAGTGAAACATCAAGATTAATTACTCTGATGTGTCACTACAGAGAAGACCATTGAAACCCATGCTTAAAAAAATTTTTTAGCTTTATATATATATATATTCTAAAGTAAAGTGTTCCTCTAAGAAAGGAGACCGGCGCCTTTTGATCGAAATAGATCACAGAAGTGCGCCAAAAATTATACTGAGATTTTGCAGAATAACTTTGTTACCAAAAACTAGAAATCGATATGCTGAGGAACCTTTTGCAAAAAACTTTAGAATTTAGAATTTAACACGAACGTGAAAAGAGGTGACCTCTCCAATTAGGATTCAGTTTGTTTTACTCTTCTTTTGTTTTTTGAGGGTGGTTGCCCATAGGCTATTCTTAAAATGCAAATGAATAGGACTTTCCAGAGGGTATGCATTACAAGTTGCATAACATGCGGTGTGAATCACTTAAAATGGTGGAGGAAATATGGTGCTCTTTGCTACAGAATGTGCGGGCTATCGAAGTAACGAGCAAGAAAGATTCGCTAAAGGCCACTGTAAGTCTTGTACCATGGAACAGCGTTGAGAAATGGATTGAACTGGTAGGGGAGCACTACTTCTCGTTTGATTTTAGTCGAGCCTTGTTTCCGGTTCTGAGATGGTTCGGTTTCACCGGCGATAAACTCACCGAGTACAATCAATTTCCATTCCAAGAAGATAACATTAACAACTGGTTTGTACAAGAAGTAACTAGTCCTGGTAAAAATGAAAAGCACAGAGTGAACATTATGAATGTTGATGGGAGCGGACGCAAACGCAAATGTTATGTTAATCAAAATAATATTCGAAATTTTCCAAGTGACCTGAATAACGAGAACTTTGAAGTTTTTGTTCATGGGACAAATCATGCGGGCGCCAAAAACATTATCGAAAAAGGTATTTTGAAGACTGAAGGATGGAGGAGGCGAGACTTCAGCTCTGGCGATGGCTTTTATTTGGACACAGATTTCGACCATGCATTGGAATGGGCCAGTGGCAACTCATCGAGATCAGCAGTGCTAATATGGCGTGTAGAAAGAAACGAGTTTAGAGAAAGGTACAAAGGTTTGGATTTTAGTATAGAAAGAAATCAAGAGCCTTCGTTTCAAAAAGTTGTTTCAAATTTTCGATCTGGTCAACCAGATCCTAGCTTTCGTAAAAATTTGGACAGGCAGTATGACTATATTGAAGGTCCTTGGTCCGCTGGACCATGGCCTGATGACGGCAGGGTTTCGAAAGGACGTGCCACTCCGTTGGACGGAACATATCAGTTGTGCCTTAGGAAAGAAGCCTGTTTTGAAGTCTTCAACAGCTGTAAACTGCATTCAGTAGTATTTTTTCAAGGATTGAAGAAATAATGGAAAGAAAGATGAAGAATTAGACTGAGTCACCTTATTTTTCATGTCTTATGTTTTTTTATGAACACCGTTTCACACAGCTGGTTATCTTCTTCATCATATACAATACTTATTTTTGTTAGGCTACCTGAGGAAATAGTTTCCCTTGTCTATTTCGTTTTTCAAAAATTTGATTTTATGTTATATAGCTGACCCTGTGAAACTCAGTGTTTTGAAGTTTCTAGAAGTAATTTAGTTTATGAACCGACGATGCGATTTGTCTTAGTTTAGGGATAATGATTTGTATCAATTATTAATCGTCAAACTCTTCAAACAACACCCATAAGAATATTGCTAGGGAGACATCATGTGGAGCCGAAGTTAATCTTGTTTAAACTTATTACCACAGTTCCTCACGAAAAGTTGAAAAATCCTGCCCCGAAACCTCAGAATGTTTTTAAACCATGGGTGATTTTCATCTAATGGGCCCTTAGTTACATAAATTATGTTTCTCTGGAAAGTTTTCTCGAACACCCTCATAAAATACTATGGAATTTTAACCACTGCGATGAGCTTGTTGAGTTCTGAAAGTGATGGAAAGAGTTAACGACTTCTTCAGGAAGGTCCTTATCAAGACACCACAACAACATATAAAGTTTCGTTTCACCGCGCAACGTAGCCTTAACATCACAATAAAACACCTTGATATTTTAGATCACCTAAATTCCGCGGTGTGAGAGTTAATTCACAAAAGAAACTACCTAAAAACTGATTATAAACGAAACTTTGGAACACGACTGCAGGTGAAGCGTGCTGAAATGACAGACGGCAAATATAGTCTCTCGGTTGAAATGGTCTCCGCAAATAGTTTTTATCCTTACCAACTTGCGCAAACACCGTGGTCACACTGCTATCATAATTCTCACGGTATTCTTAAAGTATGTCTACTATATCTTGGGGCCGATAGCAAACACGCGAGACTCAGGGAAACTGCGTCTTAAATGAGTTGGTCTAAAAATGTGCTAATATCTCATACGAAATGATACGCATAATATTTTCAATTTTTTTTGGCAATGCCCCAGATTATTAAGTTTGTATTGCCCTTAAATGGTAAGACAATTCTTTGTGCTGGTGCTTTTCTTTTTGAACGTCATTACCAATTAAGCGTGAATACGTATTGTCTCCTGGAGTAGGAACTACCCAAGTGGATCACTAGGTTGATCACGTGAATAAATTTTCGTAATTAATAATACAAGAAGAAATGTGTTTTAGTAGATGATTTCTGATAAAGGGAAAAGAAAGCTAGCATGAACTAGTACAAGAAATGGAGGGTTTTTGTTTAAAGGTTAGTCGTAAAAGGCTGCGATCTCATGAGTTTGGTTTCTTCGTTTCCTCATTGTAATGCTTGGGTTATGAGTTCCCATTCAAGATCCAAAGATCATTTGAATCGTCGGCCGAGTTTTTCGAGGGATCAAGCTAAAACACGGACGCAGTTTAATTGCCATGGAATTACATCGAGTCTCAGCGTCGAGCACCTTTTCTGGGACTCTGTGGATGACTCTCAAGGATTCGTAGGAAAGGAAAACGAAGATGACCTTTCTGAACTTTCTGAAATGCTTTTCATCTTGATGGCACTAAGGAAGTTGATTACTAAGTTACAAGAAGGTGGCGAGAAAACGGATACATCAACATACTCTTCATCAATTACCCGCAAATCATACAGTCAGCCGCTCCTCATCTTGCAAGTCGAGAGAATCTTACTTTCATTTCAGCGTCAGTCAGCACGAAGACGTCTAGAGACAATGGAAACGTTAAGTCGTCTTGAAGATCTTAACATCATCTTAACAACAATTCAACGTACACTTGAAAGTGGCGAAGCGCGTCGAGGACAGCTCGGAAATACAAGAGAAACAATTAACGAAGGTCAACAAGCAATAAAGTTTTTGCAATGTTTGTTTCAGAAATCGCACGAAATAGAGCAAGACATTTTAAACGGTTTCGCTGGTCTTCAGAAAGCTTGCACTGAGGTAGACAAGAAGTTGCCATTAGCAAGTGAGTTTCTCAGAACTGAGTTTCTCAGAACTGAGCATAAATTAAAACTGAACAATGAAACAGGGACATGTGCTGATACAGTTAGAGTTTGTTCTTGCCTTGGACTTCGTTTTGATTTTCTAGATCACCTCGGTAACTTTTCGCGTAGAATTAGAAACCACCGCTCAATAAGGGACTGGATCGTGAAATTCTTGTGGGAAAATTATGAATCTCTTCGTTTTGATGAGAAAGGCTCTCTAACAAAAGAGCTGCTACTTGCAATCGGTTTCGAATCGACGAGTTCTATCGAGACCGTTTTGACACGTTCGCTCGTAGGAAATATGCAGCAGCACTTAGAGGCGTGGGAATGGGCTGCGATATTTGTTGAAGACGAGTTCAAATACAATTTGTTGCTGTCTTCACAGGTTGAGAAGTTTCCTTTTCAATGTAATTCCACGGACGCCTGGTTTCAGAAATCCCAAAACAACTCCTTGAACGAAGATGAAGGCTCAGTCAAAATCAGAAATGTTTCGGTAGAGAAAGGTGCAATGCATGAAAAGACAGGTTCTATTTTAAGTGAATTATGCATGGAACAAGACCAATACACTGTTTATTTTCATGGAACAGACCATGACAGTGCAAAGGACATTTTACAAAGGGGTGTAGATTTGACCACTGGTCGACAGAGACGAGACTTTAGTAGTGGGTTGGGTTTTTATGTAACGAAGGATTTCAGAATTGCTTTGAATTGGGCGAAGAGCATTACATCCAAACCTGTCCTTTTGATTTTTCAGGTCCAACGCAGTTTTCCTGATAGGTTTCGAAAGAGATCTTTTCTCGAGAACTGTGCTGATGACATGATGGAATGGGAGAAGGTAGTCGCTTCGTTTAGATCGGGAAATATAACATCAGAAATTCAGAAACTGGTCAAAGATTTGGACTTCATGGAGGGTCCTGAAGCCATACTAACTGGAAGAAACGAAATTGACGAATTGATATTTGAACGGAAACCACGATCTCACCAAATGTGTTTCTTTTCTGAAACGATTGCCGAGGAGTTCGGTCGAAGTTTGAATTCGATGATATTTTATCGTTTATTTTGAGTTCAACCGTGTATTTACTTGAGCCTGCTTTTTATCTTTCCGACTTTGGACAACATCCCACAATGATCCGCAAACCGAAAGGGAAACTATTTGGAAAATGATTGCTGAAATTAACTTCAAGAATGAATTTTCAGTTTAGAGCTATTATTTTGCGCTGCTCCATTTGTTAGTTGTTTAAGAGTTGTGGTTTTAGTCCGCAGTCACGAAATTTGTGATAACATTATTCAAAAAATTGCTTATACTGTATTTGTCGCTTATAATGTGGATCGAATATTCGTACTTAAGTTTCCGGAAAATTCTTTGCTTCATTTCGAACTGAAATCTGATAGAGAATAGCAAACTTGTGCTTTTGAAAAATGTCAGGAAAAGGTGTGTAATATTGATAACTTAGCAATTACGAGATTGGCGGGAAGTTTACAATCACGTATTCTAAGCTGTCCCTTAACTGGCGTCTTTTGACGACTTTTGAGACTATTGCACAATAATTTTAATGTCTACCGAAAAGGTGAGCAGGAATTATAATATGCTTCTGTTGAAATAAGATATGTGAAATTTTATCGTGAATGTTTCAACAGTATCATTAGTATTATGGCATGTCAAACGATCAAGGTCAAATGCGAGATTTTTCCAGAACAAAATATTGTTAGTGATATCATTTCACATTTAGGGGATTTCAAGTTTTGAACAAGAGACATTTATTGTCTGATTGATCCATATCTTCAAGAAAAATTGATTAGGTCAATGTTCTTCCACTTCTGAAAGTCCCAGCACCTGGGAAATATTACCTGTCAAAAGAATTATAATAACGTAAGCAACATTTTTATAGAAGACACACATCACCTGTAACAGGTAGTATAGTGTATGAAATATTTTAGCATATTCTCCTCTTCTTCTTCTTATCGAACCTATGTGTTTGGTCAAGGCTCTTGTGTCAAAGCTAGTAGGTATGCTCGAATAAACGTTATGGAACTGGCTCAATATATCTTAACTGTCACTTATAATATGGAACAGAACGAGCAATTGACGTGAATGTGCATATAATCAATGCCTAAAGCAAAATCTAAACTCCCAGAAATCGACCTTGGACTTAATTTTATGAGAAAATATTTTTTGAGCCTACGACACGTTGAGACATGTATGTATCAAACTGAAAGGGGTCCATATGAGGTACATCCCGAAAATAGTTGAATGCAGAAACACACTTGATTTTCTCATGTAAGAACATGCAATTTTGACCCTTTATTACCAGAAGTGACCAATACATGCTTTTCCCAACATGTATATATCGAATCAAGTAGAAAAGCGATTTGAATTAATTAAAATATAACGCAGAAGTCTATCATTTGATCCAACGCCAGTTTCTCGAACTAATAAATGTTAGACATATTCATAAGATAACAAGTTGCAAGTCAGGTTGTTTCTCTCTTGCCTTTTCAATTTTGCTCATCAGATATCTGATTTTTATCGGTTCAAAATCGAAGAGATAACCATCAAAAACCCTTTTTTTTGTTTGTTGTCTAGAATGGAGTGGGCCAACAGGGAGCCTGAATTGACGTCATGCACTTAGATTTCGCCATAGGGTAAATTGTATGAATCACTGAACACCGTCTAGGAAATATGGATTTCTTTTTTCGGAAGTGGCTTTTATGTGCAGGATAGACAAGAAAAAGAACACCCTTCACTGGCACTGTTGAGATAACTTTGGTATACACATCTACCAAAAGAATGCGAGCTGAGTCCCATTTATAGATCAGTATTCCTTTGTTGTCTCTTATCAACGCAGTTGTAAGGAGGCATTGTTCCGGCAAGCACGTAAAATTAGGACAAAGAGCTTTTGTACGTCTTTGTTTAAAATTAACACACGTCGTGTATTCGCAACAATAAGCAGGGTACCTAGAGGCAAGAATTAATGCGTTCTCCAAACCCTGAAGCGAGACTGCACGAACACACGGACCACAAAAAGGCAGAAGAAGTATTAAATAAAAGTCGCTCTGAATTTAACATACACAAGCGTAGGGCGTACCGCTTTTATTGATTTATCAGTGAAGCAAGAGAGCTGGCTTCAGGCAAGCTTAATACACATTCAACTTATGTCGTTCTTTAAGCCATGAATCGAGACAGAATACTACGAGCGTCCATAGTTTACCTCTAAAAGTATGTTTAGCCATTTCCAGGAACAGTTCTCGGGTATATCGACACATATGTAATTATGTAACGAAAACATAAAGTATTCCATAGCAGTTACATGTACGCCACAATATCCCTTACATAAATTAATCTCATGATTCATTAAACTGAATCAAACGCAAACAAATCCATCAAAGTTTGGTATATCCGAGAGATTCATATATTTGCAACAAAGATAGTAAGATACATCAGGTTTTAAAAAAACTTTTATCCAATATCTATCATCCAAGTTAATCCGCTAAACTTCTCGTTTACAGATATAAACTCGGAAACAACAACTGCCTATTTATCAAAAATAGAAGTAAAGAAAACAACCGGACATGATGGTCTTTCTCCGAAGATCTTGAAACTCTCCACTCCTTCTCTAGCCGACCCACTGACGACTCTGTTTAATTACTGTATTCGGACAAGTACCCTGCCTAGCAGCTGGAAAATGAGTAACGTCTCCCCGATCTACAAAAAAGGTGACACCTCAGACAAGAACAATTACCGACCAGTTAGTGTTCTTCCTGCCATCTCCAAGCTATTTGAGAAAGTGTTATTTGATCAATTGTACTCCTCATTTTTACCTACCTTCTCCCCCAGCATGTCCGGTTTCCTTAGGGGACATTCCACCGCTACTACACTGATAAAACTAACAGATGACTGAAGAAAGTCCCTTGACGAAAAGCAAGAAGTGGGTGTGGTTGCTATCGACTTGTCCAAGGCCTTCGACTGTATCTGCCACAATCTACTGCTTGCAAAGTTAAAGGCATATGGTCTACGCGACACAGCCCTCAAACTACTGAGATCATTTTTACACGAACGAAAACAAAGGGTGATATGCAACAACAGCTGCTCCAATTGGACACCTATACGCTGTGGCGTCCCCCAGGGAAGTCTCCTTAGCCCCCTTTTGTTTAAAATTTTTATGAATGACATAAACGAAGCTGTAAATGACTCCTCTCTTCGTCTCTACGCAGACGATACTACCCAGTATATGGCAGACAAAAACCCGACTGTACTCCAGTTCTCGCTAAACCAAGACATGGAAAGACTATCCTCCTGGCTTGACCACAACTATCTTCAGGCCAACGGAGACAAGACACAAGCAATGGTCCTTGGCAAAAGTACCCACCACTATGACTTAAAGTTTAACGGCGCTTCTATCGACATTAAAGAGCACCTTAAGATCCTCGGAGTTTACCTTGACAATAAGTTATCTTTTCAAGAACACATAAATGAGATGTTAAAGAAAGTATTTGCTGAGATAGCCGCACTCCGCCGCCTTAAACGCCTAGTGCCTTCCAGTACACTGCTAGTTCTATATAGGAGTTTTGTTTTATAGCATTTTGAGTATTGTAATTCCCTACTAATCGGCATCGGCAAAACTCCTAATAAGAAGTTAGAAGATGCAAACCACTACGGTCTCCGAACAATAATGAACTTGGAGAGAAGCATTAACTACGAATCAACTCTTAAAACAGCAGATATGAACACACTGGAACATAGACGCATAGAACAGTCGTTAATAATATTTTATAAATGCTACAAAGAGAACGGCCCAAGCTACCTAGCCGACCTCTTCGAACCCCGAATTACTCCCTACAACCTAAGAAATACTGGCCTCAACGTAACTCAAAATTCCTATAACAGCAAATTCCGTCACAATTCGTACTCATTTGTCATCTCTCGCATCTGGAACAAACTACCACCTTCTGTTAAAATCGCCCCTAACTTATCGTCTTTTAGAAGAAAACTGAAAACTCTTAGTTTTACCGGCTGCCAATGCAAAAGCTGTCTATAATCTTTTGACACTTCTGCATATACGTAGCTTCTGTTTAAATATACATTTGTAAATAGTTTAACGTGATAACTAATAATTTAGATTTAAGAATTTCAGACTTTGTAAATGTATTTTATAGTCAGTCACTTTTATCATGAGCCTCCGGCTCGGGAGATTGGGCAACTACTCCCCGTGTACCTGACGGTAAATAAAATTATACTTATACTTATACTTATAGATACGAACTTCCTGATAATATTTCAGTTTATTATCATAAGAAACTATCAATCCATATCAAATCTGTAAACTTATCTCCGATGCGTTTTTTGCATTGGTACAAGCAACTCTCGGTTCGTTTCAGGTACCAACCATTGTACTTTATCGACTGGGACTGTGCATGGCTTACTTGTTTGAACCAAAACATCAGATATAACTAGCCCTTTCGGTCGCTATTGCGATCAGAGATCACAGAACACTTACTAATTCACTTCAAAGACATTGATCCTTGGCATCTTGAATTTCCAAGAATACACCAAAAAAATCGTAACATTGTCATTCGATTTTATGAAACGAGTTCAAAATTTGTAATGGCCACCGCAAAGAGATTCTAAATCTAACGTTTCGGGCGTTAGCCCCTCGACAGAGTGACTAGCTCGAAACTTCAGCTTTAGCGTATTTTTACAGTGGGATTGAATGCAGAAAGTTGAAATCGAATTGATAGTCGCGGAAATCGCTAAAGCACAGCAAAACAATTGGTGATCAGGGTCTGAGATAGTAATTCAGTCTTTGGAGGAGAAACACTCAACAAATAACAAACAACCGCTAAAAAGTCTGAAAGTCTTGTCCTTCCAAAACTGGTTATGACGATAGTGACGAAACATACGAACTGAAGGCCCTGAACTAAATTCTCTAGGAGTTGTATGCAACAGTTCTTTCGAAAGGAAGGGAAGATTACAACCTAGCTGAAAGCCTTCATTCGTGTCATTGTTACTGCTACTGACCGTTGCCTAAGTATAAGAGTACAAACGCTTGATTATTCGTGCTCGAAGCACGAAAAGCCCGACTACTCCGGCCACAAAACAAAGGCAAGTAGGCGAGCCAGTGAGCCGTGACACGAAATAAACACGACTTTAGAGAATAAAGAGTCAGTTTTTGCATATATATCATTAACAAGTATCACATGACTTATAGCGTGCAATTTTTGATAAACCAGCTTTTGAAATTATTTCAAAGACTACATATTTGACTCACCTTGCGGGCTCGAAAAATTTTGTAAGTCTTTAAAAAATGAACTCACACTTATTTATCCCAAATTCAACCCGAAATCATGAGATTACCTCACCAAATTACCCCCTTTATTCCTCCGCAACAGTGTACCTAATTTCTATTGGCTCCGCCGGCGTCCTTGCTGCGAACGCCCCTATACCTGACTGATTAAGAGCAAGTTCATAAAACATTCCTACATTACCGATTGAATACCGGGACCCCGGGTACGGAACGCTCCGAGTT